ACTCTCTCTAGAGATCTCTCAAATGCAAAGCATAAAGCTTTACTCAAACAATCAAATAGTTTTCATCTCAAATTTGTTCTCTCAAATCTGACCTAGTCTCCACCCTCAAGTAATGAGTATATATAGAGGAGGTGAAAATTAGGGTTAGGGTTTTTAGGAAACCCCTCAAATGGGTTTGGACTTAGCATTGAAGGAAGAAGCCTAACAAAAACTACGTCGTTTTGTTTCTTTATTTCCTTATACTAATTGATTCACCTTTAAATAATTATGATTCCCTTTTTCTCTCTCTTCCTTTATCACTATTGATCCATCTTTATATGGTTATGATTTAGTAGACGGAGATAACATTGTCTCAAGCAGTTTGAGAAATGATAAGCCCTATATATATATATATATATGTATATATATAAGGATTTACATTTCTGCATACGTGCAGCAATCAAATATTTGCCATATATATATGTGAAAGCATTAAATGCGGGGAATCATAACCATACAAATGATGAATGTATTAAATGTGGGAAATCATAACCATACACATGTCGTTGTCGTACATAAAGCGGCTGCAGAAATGATTTTACCTATATATATACAAGGTTCATTTTTTCTATCGTCAATGTAGATAAGTTATCTACATTGAACTTAAAACGATGTTATTTTGGGATGAGAATCAAGCTATTTTTTTGATTATAATTTATTTCAGAGTTATAATAGTCTTTTTTATTATAATTTTTTAATCCAAAATGACATCGTTTTGGGAGTGAATGTAGATAACTTATCTACAATCACTGTAGAAACATTAAAGCCATATATATATATATATATATCATTTCTTGGTAAATATTTTTTTAAAAAATAAGAGCAATTTTATATTTGAATCAAAATTTAAAAAGGAGTATTTAGGATTTTTTAAAACGGTAAAAATCTTGATCTATATAAAAGTACAATTTTTTGGCTTTTATAGAAGTTACATCTATACACACATCTAAAATGAAAAGCATTTTTATGTTGAAAAAAATGCCCATCCAAACCATTTTTCTATTTCGTATTAAATACTGAGGATAATTTAATTGATTTAATCGCGTAGGCTTTAAAACATTGCTCCTACACTGAATAGCAAAACTTATTCAGGTAGTATATTTTGACTACTAATTTTTTCAATTTTTTCTACTACCACTTCACTACCACTTTAATCATCATTGGATCAAAAGTTATTTTTCTTTTCTCTCTCTTCATTCAACTTTTTCTCTAATCTAATGGTGATTAGAGTGGTAGTAAAGTGGTAGTAAAAAAATGATAGTCAAAATATCCTAACTCAAACTTATTTACTTTGATCTAAATAAATGGTGATATTTAGCTACTTTTTTTTTTCGGTAACCTTGGTAATAGCATAGCTACCATCTTATTTTTTTATTTTTTTTTGTGAGGAGCTACTATCTTATTTAATTAAAATATAAAATACAAAAATATTGTATTTGTATTCTAAATATCAATGTTATTAAAACCGGCCCGGTCATTGACCCGGTCAAGGTATTGGGTCATTGGATCACTAGTTCAACCACTAGGTCACTTGTTCAATCGCATGACTCGGTAATTATATGCAATTTTATAATTTATATTAAAAAATTATAAACATACTCAAATATCTAAAAAAAATGAAAAAAATTTCAAATATTTTAATATAAAAATAATAAATCACATATTATTATCTAATAAAAGATCAAACAAAAATATAATAATCGTGATACAGAGCTTTAGGTTCAGAAAACGACATCTCTAATTATAAATTAATTCAAAATTTTCTACATAGTACATAATGAAGATAATATTAGTATTGTAGGTACATAACTTATGTAAGTCAATAAGCAAAAAAATATTCAAATATGTCAATTATAAATTTTTTTGAAAAATAAAAAATTTTGGATTTTTTTTTTTGGAACCAGGTCGGGTCACAGGTTAACCGACCGGGTGACCGGTTTTTATGAAAACCGACCGAGTCGCACCGGTTCTGATGCATGGCCGGTCTGTTGCTTCAACCAAATCGGTTATATGACCAGTTTACCGGTTCCCGGATCGATCCGATGTTAAATATGTGAAATGCAGGAAGAAATATTAACCGTTAATTGTTAAAGACTGATACATCACAAAAGGAAATAAGAGGGAAACTCTACTATTGCAATTTTATATCTTCATATTTTAGAAAGAAATTTTAAAATAATATTTAGTTATTTTATTTAAATTTTAGTCCCAATACTTTCTATCGAATTTCCAATTTAATCTAAATATTTATTCTCTTTTCAAATCAGCCTTCACACCATTAATTTCTGCTATAACGCCATCAATTTAAACTTTACTAAATGTTTTATCGGAGAGCATTTAATTAGTACTGGACAAAGAATGAGAGCACCTATTAGATGAAAGAAACATATAGGGCTATATGTTTGTATTCTTTTCAAGAAAAAATGATTTTTTAATTAAAATCATATTTAAAAAAATTACAATAAAAAGGTAAGCTTTTCAAAAAAGAGAAAAGTATAAATAAATATTATATTACTGCTTTTCTCAAAATTTAAAACAAAATTATATCATAATTTTTTTAAAGTTTAAACAAAGAGGAAAACTCACTAGAGAAAGAAATAATCATTTTTTTAAGGGAGTATTTTCAAAAACATTTATAAGCCTTGGAATTAATTTAAAAAGAAATAAATATGAATTAATTTGAAAATGAGTAAAAACTTTATTATTTTACTATTTTCAGGTAATTTCAAAAACACATTTATGTCAATTAATCGTTTTTTTAAAAACCCAAACAAATAATCCATCATATCCTATTCAATATATTTTCTATAATTTTATCATCATCATCTTATGGGAAAATATTTATCTTTTTAAAAGATATATAATTGTGTCATTTTAAAATAGAAAAAGTAAGAGTGGCAATATGGGTTGAGCCTGGCGGGTCAATCCGCCAACCCGCCAAAACGGGGCGGGTTGGGTTGGGGTTTTCAACCCACCAACCACCTCAACCCCCCGCCCTAGAAGTGGGTCAAAACGGGTTCAACCCGCCGCGGGGCGGGTTGACCCGCTGAGTTATAATTTTTTTTTTTACAATTAGGTAGTATTTTATTAGTCCTTAAATTTTTGTGATATCCAATTTTTTTTTTATCTTTGTACTTCCTAGAAAAATAAAGAATAATAATTTTATTTATGACAAATGTTATCTATATATAAATTCCTAAAGAATGTTTGACAAATATTAGTATACATTTAAGATTGAGACTAAAAAAATATAGAGAGATGTGAAATAAAATAAAATAATATTAGAAAAATTCATAAAATATAATTTATTTTTGAATTTTAATTAATTTTTTTAATTGGCGGGTAGGGGGGTTGACCCGCCAACCCGCCAACCCACCATAAAAAGGGGTGGGTTCATTTTTCCAACCCATATTTTTTGGCGGGACGGGTTGGTGGCGGGGCGGGGCGGATCAACCCAAATTGCCACCCCTAAGAGAAAGACATAATTTAATATTTTTTATTTAAAATTTAAATTTAAAAAAAAGTACACACTTTTTCTTCCATAATTTTTATTGCTTGTATTTTTTTACTTAAAATAATATAACTCATGTCTTTTAATAGAACAAACACTAAACCCCTTATCTTATTTTTCTCCATACGCCTACATGCCTTTTTTTTCTTCTAATGAAAGGATAAAGCAAATTTCGAAAAAATGCAAAATTTTTTTGAAAAAAAGGGATAAGACATTTGCTGGTCAAATAAAAAGTTTGACACTAGTATAAAAATAATTGATCTTACAAATTTAATCCATTAATTAATAACTTTTTTGTAATATTATAAATCTAAAGTTTTTATCGTGGGTGCGATGTTAAATAGACAATTTAGTTGTTCTTTTAAAAGTATTCTTACATATTGGGTTTGCTTTGCTATATGCAATAAGTCCAATACGACGTTGTTTTGAAGTGAAAATTATGGTATTTTTAATTTATTTTAGGGTTTAATATTTCAATCTCAAAATAACTTTGTTTAAAGAGTAAATGCAGATTCTGCAAGCCCGAATTTATCAGCACCGTGGTGATTCCAACGATAGCGTTTGGACAGCCCCCAAGCAAGGGTGGGTTAAGTTGAATTGTGATGGAGCTTCTTCTAGTGGCATGAAAAAAGCTAGTTGTGGTGGTATATTAAGAGATCACAATGGATCCTTTTTGGGAAGCTTCTATTGTAATTTAGGTTCCTGCAATCCTCTTGATGCAGAATTATGGGGATTACTGAAAGGTTTGGAACTGCTTTGGGGAACAGGATTAAAAAGAATAGAGCTAGAATGTGATTCTAGCCAAGCCATCCAGATGTTAAAGGAGCAGCATGAAGATCCTAGGGACTCTCAAGTCACTAGCAGATTGAGATTATGGTTAAAAGCAGATTGGACTATTCATCTTGTTCATACCAAGAGAGAAAACAACAAATGTGCTCATTGGTTAGCTAAAGCTGGGCAGACTAATAATCTCCATTTCAAGATTTTTAAAGATCCTCCTCCTCAGTTGATGGAACTTATAGTTGCTGATGCTAGAAATATGTCTAGCTTGTTAGTTTCTGATTTGTAATTTATTTCTGTCTCTGGGGCTTAGCCCCTCTTTATTTACAAAAAAAAAGAAAAAAGTAAATGCAGATAACTTATCTGCAATAACTGCAAAAATATTTGTCTGTATAAATAATTTTATCGTAGAACCTATATTTTTTTTTCTCTTTTACTCACATGCTGGACCTAATATATTTTTACATGTGTGTAAGAAATAAAATTATCCCTTATAATATTAATTTCATATATAATAAAAAAAATTGAATTTACTCAAAAAATAATTGAGGAGAAAAATTACTAGAAATGAGAAGTCCGTGAACACGTTTCATGAACCGTGGTGATGACCGAAGAGAGATGTCAACAAGGGAAAGCTATTGTAACTTTCGTATATAAAAGGATCTGATCTGAGAAATCAAAACACCGTGGAGAGAGAAAGAACTGAAAATAAAAGGCGGGCTAAATTTCTTAGAGAGAGAGAGAGTCTCCTCTCTCCTCAATGGAAGGCGGCGATCAGGGTCTCTCTTCCGCCACCGCCGCCGCTTCAACCGCCGCCGACCTCACCGCCTCGCCTCCTCTCCTCGTTGATCCTGTTAGTGGTCCCGATCCCGCTGCTGGCCTGGACGATGTTTCGGAACCCGAAATTCATGCTCTGATTTCAGACGAAGAGCACGACCACGACCATGAGCTCGATCACGATCACGAGCATGACCACCACGACGAGGACCAGGACCGCGATCACGCGGCTGTGACTGGTGTCTCCTTGGATGATCTCAAGCTCAAGATCATTAAGCAGGCAACAACTCTTCTCCCTTTCAACTATTCTCGCGCAATTGGTTTGTTTTTATGTAATTGGCGTTCGGTGATACTGTCTTGTAGAGTTTAAGGGACTGATGGAGTTAAAAAAAATGAGTGAAAATGGTTTTTGTATCATTTCCAGCTTTTCAAAACTAGGTTTTGCTGTTTGGATATTTTGTGTTTTCACATTACTAGGTTTTTCTGTTTGGACTTTTTTTTCCCCCTGCTTGTATTAGCTTTGCTCTAATTTATTGGCGGAATTCTTGACATAGTTTGGTGATATTTTTATATTGATTTTGCAGGTGGAGTATTATTTCAGCGATGAAAATCTGCCCAATGATAGGTATCTGTTGGGTTTCGTCAAGAGGAACAAGGAAGGGTTTGGTAAGTGATAAGTCTTTTTTAAGTGTCTTGGTCTAATTAATTTTAACTTCCGCATTTTCAAGATTTTACCTCCAATTCATTTGTTGCCTGACTTGTTCACTTATTTTATGCATTGTGCGATTACTTCCCTAGGGATCTCCATTTAGGAGTTTTTCTTTGTTTGTTGCTAAATAGAATGTGTTAATATGAAATGTGGAATAATCTGGGTAATGTATAATATATTTTGTAGAAGGAGATCCTAAGGGAAGATAAGTATTGGATCTTCTTATTTCTAGAGTGCCCGGAATTTGGAATTTGCTTATATAGTTATATACGTGAACTCATGTCTCATGAAGTACTGATAGTAACAAAGTTTAATTGGCATCATGATGATTGTTTAAAGATTCATAACTTATTACATATGTGCAATTACTATTATTTGACATACGAGTTCTTCAATTAAACTACTTGGGGCCGGGGGATAAGGGATGTGATCATAATTCATCTTTTTCTATAGATGATGGAAAAAAAGAGCATTTGTCAATGCAAGTGGGCTTAATTTTATTCTTCATTTCCAAATATTTCACTAAAGGTGATCTATTGAAGTTCGTGATAAGGAAAGGTGATTACTAATTTGAATTGAAAGTTGTATCAATTATAGCAGCCCACCTTTTGTATAGATATGTATATACTAAACTGAATGTAATATAAACAATGATGGCACCCTTACAACGAATTAATATTAACTATGTAGTGCTTTTTCTAGAATACTCTTCAATTCATTACTTCATTATATGAGAATCTTACTAAAATTTTGTCAAAATGAGAAATGTTATTTATTTAATGTATAAAGAAATAAGAATACACATGCAGTTATGCATGCATTATATGTTTTCAATTGTAATATAAGCAATGTGATAAATAAAAATAAAAGTATAAGCAATGTGATGTAAGAATAAGATGTTTCTTTTCTGCTTTTGGACTATAATGATGCATCAATCGATGTCTTTTCCTTCTTTATTATTATAATTTAGCTAATCCTAATTGTGTATTATTTATAAAGTTATCATTATTATTTGTCCATAGCTCCATACATGTATTTATTTATCCTATCTTGTAATTCCTTATTAAATTGTTCATGCAGTTCCAGTATCAGTAATTGCTTCATTTAGAAAAATGAAGAAGCTCACTCGAGATCATTCATTTCTTGTTGCTGCACTGAAGGAATCTTCACTGCTTGTATGATTCTTCCTTCCTTGTTTTGTCAACATAAACTGCATTGATATCCTCTACTTCAAGTCCTAAGGAAATTTTTTTCTCATGGGGACTGCAGGTTCTGAGTGGTGATGGGAAAAGGGTTAAGCGGCTCAATCCACTTCGTTTCAATGAAGTTAAAGATCATAAGGTATTTATTTCAAGGAGCATTCTACTTTTTTAGTCTGTTCTGTGTTATCCTGCTTCTTATTTTTGGACTCCAGTTATACACTGTTTTGGTAGAGAATTTGCCAGAGGACCATACAAAGGAGAACATTCAGCAAATATTCCAAGAAGCTGGAAAGTATGATTTCTTCCTTAACTTATGCATTTGTTTCCAGTCTCGTTAAGGATGTTACATTTGTGCTTCCAAATATCTAATGATCTTAAAATGTCTTCCAATATGCAGTATAAAGAGGATAAGCATTCGTGACCCACGTTCTACTGCAGAGTCTGCAAAACATATCAAGCAAGAAATGTTCATTAGTAGTAAGGTATTGAACCATCTTATGTTAGCGGATAAACTTAAATACGTAGTATTCTTACATTTTTTATTGCATTGTTGCTTATATTAAAACACTTCCATTTTGAAGATTTAATCTGTCGTAGCAGTTAGCAATGAATTACTATACGACTGCCTTTTATATTTTTTCCCTTTTAAAACTTTCTTTTCTTCTTTTTATTTTTATTTTTAATTTTTTGAATATAGATATGATTAAATGTTTAGTTGGTTTCATGGTCTCTAAGTCCAGCTAGGGTACCAAGTCCTAAGATGATACAAATTAGGCTCAAAGTTATCAAATGAGAATTGCGGCCTATCGCGGCCAACCCTAAAAAAAACACTATAGCGCTATAGCGGGTTACGGTTGCAGAGATAGTAGAACAAATCAATAGAACCTAGATATAATGCACATATATATGCTTAAAAGTGAAGACATTCATTCATAATGAAGAATTGTTCCAAAACAAACAAGAATTCCATATAGTCAATAAAAATGATCTAAATATTGTCAATATTCCAAGACAGAAACAGAACTAATCCAAACATCTCAAGAAATAACACCCAAAAGAAAAAAGAATTATTAAAAAATTCTTCAATACAAGTAACACAACAAATTATTAAAAAACAATGTCACCCAAAAAATAAATACAAAGACAAAATATGAGGGAGAGAGACACAAAAATCTTAAAAAGGTAAATAATAAAAAAAATACAATTATAAATAATAATAATTTTTTTAAAAAAAGAAAGCAGAAAACTTACCTACTATGAGAGAGAAGCAGAGAAGGGCACAATTTTTTACGACAAAGTGACAAACATAATGGGAATTTGACTTAAGTTAGGATTTGAAAATTGAAAAAAAAAAGGAACAGACAAGAGAGAGGAGTACCTCTATAACTCTGGTATGAGAGAGAGAGACCCGAGAAAGAGAGAGGCAAGTCAAGACAAAAGAGAGTGAGAGACCAAAAAGGAAAAAAATTTGTAGAGAAGAAGAATGCGCGATGCAAGTTGAGTTCTGAACTTCGAGTTGAGAGAATGAGAGAGAAGAGGCGGCGTTTCATAAAACCCATTAAAAAGATAAAAAAAACCCAAAAAATAACGGTTACAAAATTAAAATAGGGGCAAATTTGAAACTTTCAGCTTTACTGTTGTGGCGCAATTGCGTCCGCAACAGCCGTGTTTTTGCCGCAATTGTAGCTGCAATTGTTGCATCTCCTAATTGTTAGTCATATGATGTGGTTTGGCGTGGTGGAGCTCCGCAATCCGCTATTGTAGTAGAATTGCATGCTTTTTGCTGAAATCGATTTCTATGATTAGGCTGCAAAAAAATAAAAGAAAAGAAAGTTCCTTCTCTTTGATGCTCATGAACTTGATAATTCAATCCACCATCATAGTTGTTAATGGTGTAAAACTTGAGTCTCACTTTGGTGATTACCCTTGAAACTTCTTGCGGCCTTGATTCTTGTTTTAAAGGTGAGTGAAACATAAAGTTTTCAAAGCTCTAGTTCTGACCTCAAACTAAGTAAATGTCCACCTTGTAAATAATTCTTCTGTGTAAGAGCCATAGATGTTACAGCTTAATGTGCTTATTTTCTTCTGGTTCAATTGGATAACAATTTTGGTTCTTGATTGGATGTGAAAAAAGAATCAATGCTGCAGCTTGAGCTCTATTAGCGGAGTGTCATTTACCTTCCACCTTGATTTAGTTATATAAAATTCTCTTTTTTTTTTTTTACTTTCTATCAGTAACATAAGTGCTGCTGACAGATAAGCAGGACTAAGGACTGATGAATTTTTCAATTTGTCATGAGATGCCTTGCATTCAAGAATTATTATTCTTGGGTTGATTTTTGGCATTTCTGGACCTCATTTAAAATGGTCTTAGATAGATACAAGATAACTATGTTGTGTTCTTTCCATAGATATCAATTGCAGCGCAAAAGCATGCAATTCTGCTATAGCAGCAGATTGTAGAGCTCGACTACACCAAACCACACCGCGACGAAACAAGTAGGAGATGCAGCCATTGTGGCTGCAATTGCGGCATATTGCAGCTGTTTGCGCACATAGTTGCGCTGCAACATTAAAGAAATGGAGAATTTCAAATTTGCAACAATTATTTTTTGGGGTCTTTTTTTTGTCCTTTTAACCCCTTTTATGAAACCCTGCCTCTTCTCTCTCATTCTGTCATCTCGGAGTTCAGAACTAAACTTGCGTTGCGCATTCTTCTTCTCTGCAATTTTTTTTTTTTGGTTTTTGGTCTCTCATTCTCTCACATTTTGACTTGTCTCTCTCACCTCTCTCTCTCTCTCTCTCTCTCTCTCTCTCTCTCTCTCTCTCTCGTATAACAGTTATAGAGGTACTCCTCTCTCTCTTCTCTATTATTTTCTATGTTACTTTTTTTTTGTTTCAACTTTTAAATACTAACTACTAAATATCCATTATGTTGTCGCTTTGTTGTCAAAATTCATGTCCTTCTCTCTCATTCATCTCTCTCTTAGCTATCTGCTTTTTTTAAATAAATAAAAAACATGTTTTATTATTTATCTATGTGTTTTTTTATTTTATTTACCTTTTAAGCTCTCTGCTTCTCTCTCTGAGATTCTGTCTTTGTAGCTTTTTGTGGGAGTCATTATTTTTTTAATAATTTGTTGTGTTGTATTGAATAATTGTTTAATAGTTTATTTATTTGTGGTGTTACTTTTTGAGATGTTTTGGATTAGTTCTGTTTTGGAATATTGACAATGTTTAAATCCTTTTATTTGACTATTTGGAATTCTTTTTTGTTTTGGAACAATTCTTCATTATAAATGAATGTATTTATTTTTGAGCATATATATGCGGTATATCTACGTTCTATTGATCTATACCGCTATTTCTGCAACCGCAATCCACCATAGCATTATAGTGTTTTTAAGGGTTGGCCGCGACAAGTCGCAACCTGCATTTGATAACTTTGGTTCTTTCTTAAACAACCCATAAGATGATATCAGACTGTGTGTGTTAAGCTCATACCTGCTATATTCTTCTCTTCCAGTGCCTTTATTGCTTTATTTAATTTTTTTCACTTACGTTGTCAATTTATTTTATTTTTGTGTAGTTACATGCTCTTGTGGAATATGAGACTATTGAGGCTGCTGAGAAAGCTGTGAGTTTTACTTTATGCATTATAATTCATATTGTCATTTGGCCTTTATTTCCTGGACAATTTACTACGTCTGCAATTCCAATTAGGTGGTTATGTTAAATGATGAACAAGACTGGAGAAATGGCATGCGAGTTAAACTTCTCAAACGAATGGTTAGTAGCATATTTCTTTTCTTCACCCGACAATTTGACAGCAAAAGGTGTTGATGGTGATTTTATGATTTAGGGGAAGTATGGGCACAAAAAACAGGCTTGGAAGGGATCTAATTCTGAGAAGAATAGCTCAAGCCATGTATCTGAACAAACGGGAGATGAGGAGAATCATAGCTCAAATGAGCACCATGAAGATACACTTGACGAGGAGGTGTGTATTGCATTTGTTTTCCACCCTTGGCTGCATCCTATAATGTATCTGTTAGTATTTTGAAGCCCTAATAGTACTGGTTTCTTGCCTTTCAAGTATGAAAAACATATTGTTCATTTATATATTCTTAAGATGGGAAATTACATTTTTTTTTTAACCATGCATGTGAAAATATCAAGATGTGATAAGATCATAGTTATTAATAATGCAATGGCAAGCGGGCACTACAGTAATAGCAAAGGGGTGCTTCGCTATACTGTTCCCATAACTTTGCAGTTTCAATATAGTGTAGCAGTAACTTACACTAGTTGTGTTTTGGAGAATAGCAATAATTCACATTTGCAGTATTGCGAAAAGCAAAAGTCCCCAAAGTCTTGATGTCTGTTATGCCTTGAATCATTTCCCCTTGGCCGGTATCCTAAGTCTTAGGATGATAGCAGAACTGTCTGTCTTTTGTGCATCCAGTATATAGCTTTTTATTTTTCTTAGTATTGCAGAATTCTGGTATATGCAACTAACTTGCTGCATATCCTCATTTCTTAGCACAATCAGTGATAGTGACAAACTGATTTCAGTATGAATCCAGCTTACATTTGCCTCCGTTGTTTTCTTTTCATTACAGGATGGGGGAGAGCATTTGTCGAAGGATAAAAGTGGGCAGAGGTATAGAAATCAAGGAAGATCAAGAAAACATAAATATCGAGCCGTTAATGGAATGGGTATCCTTTCTCTATATAGTTAACAGCTCCATTTTATTATATTATTATTTTTTATTTTGAACCCCTTCTCTTTTTGATAACCCGTTGCATTGTTCAAGGCCATGGAAGTACATCATCTACTCATACTGCCGAAGCATCGAAGCCACCTCCTGGACCAAGAATGCCTGATGGAACCAGGGGCTTCGCAATTGGACGTGGTCGGCCTCCTGTCCCTACATCGAATTAGCAAGATTTGGCACCACACATATAAAGGATTGTATTTTACAGTATTTTGTCAGTTGTTTTAGTGATATACTAGTTTAAGCTTGAGTCCCCCGATGTGTCTTTGCTTGAGTCAACAAACATTCAAGGGTTTGATGGACTGTTAAATTTGCTGGCTCAAGCTTGTGAAAGCGAGCGTTGGTGGTAGAGGACATAACCATTTTCAGAATATTTGGCTGGGAAAGATAAAACTATATTTCCTCACCTTGCGAGGAGTTTGTGTAACAAAATATCGCTATGAGAAATCTGTTAATGGGGATGAAAGCTATGAGTCCCATAATGAATGAAATTTTCTTGGTTGACATTATAATGGTCACCACTCACCATATAGTCGTTGAAACAGCGGGACTGGTGGTTTAAAATTTGTTATCACATGGAACTTATTAGTCATCCTTAAAGTAGAGTTCTACTTCTTACTCCTTAGTAATAAAGGAGCCAGGTAAATCAAACACTAAGCTTTATTAATCTCTTGAACATAGCGTTTGATGGGTCCTCCGTGAAGGCCTGAGTATGAAAATGGTTCAGGAAAATGAGAGAAAGGGAGATAACTCGTCTCCTTTATTTAACAATTTTTCGATTCAATAAAAGGGATAGTGACGGATAAGGAATTTCCAGAAATGTCAAATCGCAGATCTTATTTGCAGTATTTGAGGACTACTTAGTACATAGTATTTTATTTATTAAATATGACAAAAATAATACCTTCATAGTTATTTTTACTTTTATCTCTTATTTTTTCAATTTTAGTAAAGGAGCATGTGATTCAGGAGCATTGAAAATAAGCACTTTAGATTGCTGTTTAATTTCCACATTTTGAAGATACGAGATAAAGTAAATGTATTTTCGTGTTTTAAATGTTCCATCCTCCTTGTTCTGTTTCCTTGAATATCCCTTTGTTTTCTTGCCTTCCAAACGAATAATCAGTTGCACTTTAGTACAGATTCATGAGCTACCTTTTAACAACTTTTTCATGCTTTTCAATTAATTTTTGTTCTATATGTCGATTTTATTTTTATTTTTAAAAAAGGATATGGCTTTGATTTAAAATATCGCCGGATAAGTCTTTAGTCTTTCATGGAATTTAATGAGGATCTTCTTTTTCTGATGACAAAGTATAACGTGATTCTGTAAATGTCAAATTTAACAAACTAAATCAATAAATAGTATATCAGAATTCAGAAAGTGGCTCTTGAGGTTTCCAAAAATGGAAAATATTTAATATGGTGAAGGACAACTGAATTTTTTGGTGCTCCCACTCACATCATTAATTTTTTTTCCTTTTTATCCCTTTTTTTTTTTTTTTTTCTTCTAATTTTACCTTCCTATTTACACTAACAGACCACCTAAAAAATAGTGGTCCTTCACAATAAATTATCTCCCAAAAATGGGGATCGAGAAGAGTTGTACCAGACTCTGCTAGCATGCTGAGCCGCACACAGCATTAGCAGCTGACACGAACAAAAGCAAAAATACATCTACCACATCAAACACGAAATAGTAATGCTGTGTATAAGTGGTAAAATTAGATCTTCGAGTCCTAGGAAAGGAAAAAATGGTCTTCCATGAACTGTCTTCACTTTGAATAAATCGAAGTAATCTGAAAGATGAACTGATTAAAGTGGAAAAAAAAAACTACATCAAAGAATTGAGAACAAATGCCAAAAGTTTTTCTCCATATGGAACATGTGTTTTAGTTAGTTAGACACATCCATTGCTACTCTGTACAATAGAATAGATGCTTCGCTTGCATCGGTAGCACCAGCACGTATGGTGAGGGTCCACGTGACGTGACGTGACGAATTAAAGTGAGCCAAACCTGAGGAAACAGTTTCGGCGACGCGATGATATCGAAGTGAGAAACAAGAAAGTCGCAGTTGATGACCGTCATTTGACAATTTCCCTCTCTACATATATATAATAAAAGCTTGTATGGAATATTCTCCCGTCCATTCTATTCTATTTGATCACCATTTCCTTCCTTCTTTTCTCAACTCAGATCTACTTGATCTTCTACTCTCTCTCTCTAGCATCGAATCCATGTCTTCTCGTTTCCTCAACCACCGCCATCTCCCTCTCCATCTCTCTCGCAAACGCCTCTCTCTCCCTCCATCCACTTCCCTCATCCATTCTCCCCCTTCCAACTTCCACTGCGCCACTCTCAAGGTACTCCCATTCTGATCTCAATGTTTATGCAATATCATCATTATTATTATTATTATCTTGCGTGAATCATGTAATATCGTTTACCGTTTAATCCCTTCTTCAATATTCTGCAGCTACATCCGTTGATTATTCAACAATATAGCCGCTGTGTTCGACGTAATGTTGTTTCTACGAGAGCCTTCGACGATGTACATTCTCACTTCTCTTGATAATCAATCAATCATTTTTTTTTTTTTTTTTTTTTTTTTTTTTTTTTTTTTAAAGTTTTACTATGGCTCTAGTCTTACAATTCTCACTGCAGGTGTTTCATGTTCTGATAGTCTCTAATTTTGATTGAGAGCAGAGATTGATTTTGAGATATAACTAATTTCGATTTTAACCGCATATAAAGAAACAATTGTATGATGATCAATGCTGAGATATTATTTTGGTAAACAAGTGCTCTTGATGCTTCTACTGGTGACATTTGGGGAACTGATGTGACAATATATGCATATTTCCACATGCGTGCATTTTCAGGGTTTATATTTGGAATTTAACTTAATGAGTCCCTTAAAGGCTCTAGCAAGTCATGAATTGTGATTTATCTATGCTGACTCTGTCTCGTGACATTTGTTATGTTTTGCAGGATTCATTTGACATGCCACTGCTCGATGACTGGGGTGCTGATGAGAGTTCTCATGCTTATGCGCTCTCGTCCAGTGACGGTGAAGACAGTGATGGTGAAGTCTTTCTTACTCCGGTAAATGATGTTGATTTGCCTTCTGTTTCTTCATCAAATAATGATGCTCTAACAGTGGCTGCTCATCGGCTTGCAATCCTTGGGAGGGGACGCAAGAAACATAGGCAAGTATGTAGAACTTATGCAAATGGTTTTGTTTTTTATACCCTTATCTGTTAATGGGAATATTTCATATATTGAAACTGTTATTTTATAGTATAATATGGTTTCTAGAACTTTGATTTGATCTCACTACACTTATGCATTTAACGGTATTAATAAAATAATAGTAATAATAATAATAATGGGAGCTCTACTGCATGTATTATGCTTTATGACTGAAAATTTACAAAAAAGCACGTTCAAGATTTGAAGATTAATAGACATCAAAGGTGTGGTGATCTAAATGAACATAAGATTTCATTTGTTTTTGTTGGAGCTGGAAATGGAAATGCATTTTAATATAATTGATAACTTTATGCTTGATAGCCTTTTCTGTCAGCTATTACTTAAATCCTTACCAATTTCCCTTCCATTTCTGTGTGATGCTAGGTTAACCCAGTCCGGGTTTTAATGTATTTGCAGGATCAAACTAGGCATTTTCATCACTATGGGGCTTATAATCTTCTTGACACTGCTGCTTTTGTATGTTGATTGGTGTGCATGGAGAATTGTTAGACTACCCTTATCAGCTTTTTACTTGACCCGTCCATTTCTTATATCAGCCATTTTGGTTTCTTTCGCTGGCTATGTTTGTGTCCCAATTTTTCGGCGTTTTAAGATTATCCATGTAATCAAGCAACAAGGGCCCGTTAGACATCGCTTGAAAAAGGGAACACCCACATTGGGTGGTTTGTTTTTTATACCTATTGGTATAACTGTTGCTCATGTCATTGCTGGTTCCTCATCTATAGAAGTGTCTGGGGCAGCCGGTGTAACAGTTGCATTTGCAGCAGTTGGTTTACTTAGTGATATATTAGGCCTCACCAAGAATCATAGGAGAGGTTTGCCTGCATCGGCAGAAGTTCTTTTGGAGGTGACCACTTTTTTATTTTTTAATTAAAAGCATTTTTTGGAGTTTTTAATGTGCTAATTGATTTATTTATTTTTAAAAAAAAATCCAATCTCGGTCCCTCATGAATCAAATTTTGCTATCTAATCCCTCAACACTCCAAATTCACCTCAATTTAGTTCTTCTGCAAGCAAAATCTGCCTCATAGAAACATTAAATTGATATAACTTTTTATGAGACACTAGATTGCAAAATTTGAACTGTGAGGGACTAAATTGAGAATGGATTTCGTGTTGTTTTTTATTTAATTAACAATGGTTCAACTATTTCTTTTAATTAAATCTGCATTTTGATACCACACAGGTAGCTGTTGGAACGTGGTTTTCATTTTGGTTGAGCATCACCAATATATCTTCACCCTATGGCATGTATACCTTCTTGTAACTAATCTGATCAACATATTTCTGATGGTAACTCACATATCTGTTCTCATAAAAAACATTTTACAAGCAGTTGAAAACATGACTTCTTTCCCCTTCTGTGCCCGAGTTAAACCAATAATTAAAAAATTGATATGAAGATTTTCGTTTTGCCTTCAGATAGATACACTCAACAGGTTTAATCTTCCTTGTCTGACAAGTCTTGTAGGATGGATGGCATGAAAGGAGTTTCGCTTTAGTGGTATAAAATTTTGTTTTTGTGCAACCATCATTTATGGTTCTAGCTTGGGAACAAGTTGTCCTCTAAGTTCTTCATACTCTCTTGACTCAAGTTGAGGCTTTATTTCAATATGTAAAGCAAATAATCCATTGGTTGTGCTGAAAATGCTGCTTGACATCTGGGCCAGAACTAGAAAAGTTTGTGAGGGTGCTACGCTTTAAAATTTTAGAAGGGGGCAAATTTAAGTTTTATGAGGATGCATATCCAAGGAACTATGTATACTATGTGTAAGAAATTGTTTTTGACTTCGGCTGCACCCCTAGTCCCCTACCCTTACACATAGGTCCACCTCTGCTTGACATATGACTACTAGAGAATTGTCTTTAAACACTTTTTGGAAAATTAAAAAATTGAAGTCCTATAAGAATATTTTTTATATACTGTCCTGTTAACTGTAAAATATAGATGATGATGCCCGTAAGTGAGACTACTTATTTATTTTCTATGCTAGGATATCTATTTGATTGACCTGGTTACAAATCACTCATGCCTCCTCCTTCTACCCATTTCTTTATTTATATTTTATTTGCAGGAAGATGTTGGTTCCATTACCACTGGGCCTTGTATACTTGGGACGATATTACCAACTCTTGACTTCATTTTGTTTTGTTTCCATGGGACGTGGCGTTAAATTAGCAGATGCACTTGATGGACTAGCTGGAGGTACTGCTGCATTGGCTTTTACTGGAATGTCGATAGCTGTGCTTCCAATATGTTCTGGTTAGTAGCATGTCTTTTAAGTCAGCTATGGACTTCGAAACCAAATATCTCTGTGCCAGATATTCCGTTTTTTATCATTCCAGATCCATTTTCAATCTATAATCAATAAAAGAGATCAATAACGAGTATGTAGAGTGAATAAAATTTTATTGGCTACCATGCTGTTGCCTTGCACTTGAACATGCTGATGCTCTAAGGAAGAATATATGACTTGATAAATAAAGTTGGCCTGCTTGAAAACTTATTTCATTATTTTGTGTGTAAGTTCACCAAGCTTCTTGTTAAGCTTTCTAAAACGACAATAATGACTTTAATGCTCAATTGAAAAAAATCTGTTCCAAAGCACTTTGACCTTTATCTCTCATCACCATCTAGATTTAAATACAGTTTGGTTATTTTTTAACTTTATAGTACTGCAGCCTGTCATCACTAGTCAGGAGGGAAAATCTCAGTTCTCTTTAGGACTGAGCAATTGCCTTGCCTCAGGATACTAAAAAATGGTCATTTTTAGTATTACATAAAGGACAAATCCAGCCACACAGGGCTCCCCAACTTGCGAGGGTAGAGGTGAAAGTAAATCGCATGCAACCTTACCCTTGTATTTCTGTAAAAAGGATATTTCCGAGACTCAAACCCATGACCTTCCAATCACAAGAAGCAATTTGATCGTTGCTCTAAGGCTCCAACCTTCTGGTCATTTTTAGTACTATATACAATTAATTATACCACAGATTTTGTTTGATATATTTGTAAATATGCCAAACCAGATCTTGCTATATTTGGAGCTTCAATGGCTGGATCTTGTGTTGGATTTCTTCTACACAACAGATACAGAGCATCTGTATTTATGGGTAATATGGGATCTTTGGCACTCGGTGGTGCTTTAGCTGCAATGGCTGCATGTACTGGAATGTTCTTCCCGCTATTCATTTCTTCTGGAATTTTCATTGTTGAGTTATCATCGGTTATCATTCAGGTCTGTCCCACGCTTGCAATGCTTCCATACTTTTATTTTCTCTGAATTACTTATTTATTTAATGAGTAAAACATGCTCTCCAGTATCCATCTTAGAAATATGCTCTAACAAGTTAATTTTATGCCCCTCTACATTTCATGTTTATGTGATACTTTCCTGTTTGTGAATGTATCAGAGAACTGGATTATTCATTTTGTATGTTACCATCGTGTTTCTTATCCATTTCTTTTATGCGTCTTGTTGGATTGAAATGACTACTAATCTCTCTCGTTACCTAGTCTTATGTCAAATTGTTTTTCCATTCATTTTTCCCTTTTACTCAATGTGGTTTGCATTTTGCTTCACTAGTTCAATGACATTGAGAAACTTCGAGTGTGTTTTGATTTGATCAAAACCGAAAATGGAGTGAGGATAGAGGGATGCTTGTGCTACCTAGGCATAGCTAGTGGTAAGGGATGGTTGGTGCCGTAGTTTTAGGTAAATCCATTCTATAAACTAAACAAAAAGTTTTACATGTGGACAGGCTTTTTGTATTAATGTCTAGTCTATTTCTCATTTAATTCTGTACATTGACTAATTATTACCTCTTAGCAAATACATACTTAAAATGTACATATTTATGTGTATGCTATTACCGATTAACTGGGTGTACTTTTCTTTTGTGGCTAGATTTAGGATTTGGAAGACGGTATCTGTTATCATTGTCATGAGTAAAAGTCCTAATTTATTCGTTTATTGCTTTCCTTTCTGTTTCTAGGTATTGTACTGGAAGATAACGAAGGGCTTGCGGGGAGCAGGGTGGCGCTTTTTGAGAATGCCACCCTTCCATTATCACCTCCAGTTACGAGGGTTCAGAGAACCAAATATTGTATTAGGTGCATATCTTATATCATCTGTATTGGCTTTGCTTGGCGGCTATGTGGGTCTTGTTTCAGCGTAACATCTTGTGTCACGTGTAAAACTTCTCATTCTAATCTGATACTAGCATATCTCATTTCCTTCTTCATCCATGTTGTGCACCATTAGAAGTGTCTCTTTTTCGTGCCAAGCCAGCTTCTATTTCCGCCTTAATTGTTCAACCATTGAACATCAAATTCATGCTCAGATAAACGATTGATGATGTTGATGAAAAAGTCATAACCCTAATTTTAATTGCAAATAAATATATTCACTACAACAAATTTCTATTAACTACATAATTGGTACAATTCAATACAATAAATATATATTAATCTAACAAACAATATATACTATAACTAACACTCAAATAAAAATTTAATTATTAAATTATATTTTACTATGTAATTAACATTATTCTCCTTATAAAAATAATTGTCATCCTACCTACACATATTTATCACAATGTCATTTTATAAAATTATCAGTAACCTACCTATAAATAATTATCATTCTAATAAACTAACCATACCCAAAGTCACTATCATATCCTTTGTCACACTAATCATGTCCTAGGTCACTAACTATGTCCTAAGTCATTATCATGTCCTGAGTCACTAAAAACTTATTACTGTAATTTAAAAACTTAAAAAGAGAGTTAGAAAGCTTGAGTGAGAAAGCTCCAAAAGGGAAAAGCTAGTGAGAGATTTTAGAGAAGAATGGTAAGGAGGAATCAGAGAATTTTTGAAAGTGTTGGGTATATATAGGCCATGACTAGTTGACACAGACATTGTCCGCAACACACGTGGCACTGCCATGTGGCTGATGTGCATAATGTCTGTGCACAATTAGTTGTGCCCAATTTTTTTAGCAACTAGTTGCATTACATTACATCCATGTAATTTTAAAAATGACATTAATGTCATATTTTTTTGAAAATTTTTTGCAATTTTTCCCATATTTCTATACCCAAAAAGAGATAGAGCATATTTTATTGACAAATCAATTCATTCTCTAGAACTCAATAATAAATTGATCCAACCAAACGCTATTTTTAATTATTTATGTCTATACTAAAAATAAAGAAGAAAACATCTAAACGTTGTCATACACCCCTAAGAAAACAGCCTTATCTGATTCAAGGGAAGCAACACCAATACACCATGTAGCATATCCATAAAAAAGAAGAAGTAATTATTATAATTACATAAGGACTCCGTAAAGGTTGTTAGAAATATAATACATATGGATAAATGGGCAAAACATATTAATCAAAGGATTATATATTATGATACTTAAAATGATAATACTACTACTAATAATAAATGAGCAATAATATAAAAATTTGAATGAGTATTATATATTCGGATAATTGAACGCCATTATAGGTGCATTTAATATACATTTCTCTATTCCAATCTCGATGCAATGATTTTTCAATCTTTTATACGGGATAATCTAGTATCCTTATGCATGAAGATAATTAATTCGGTCGTTGTGGTCGGATTCTATTATGGACTTCTGACCACATTCTCAAATTAAATATAAAATAGATAAACTTTAGGAATAATAATAATAATTAAAGTTGCATGAGTTCATACATTTTTAAAAGTTGATAATGAACGTAACTTTTGATGAAACGTATAATAATATAAATTTGGAAGTTTCAGTTATACAAATAAATATTTAACAAAAATAATAATAAAAACAAGGAAAAAGTTCAAATACCCCATTTTAATTTGTCTTTTAATCACTTATTTCCTTATGTTTTTTGTTTTTTTATCATTTACTCGACTGTATTTATTTCCATCCAAGTCTTTTTTAAAGGTGTTAAGAGTTTCTAATTAATATTCATAATATTCATACTTTATCCTTTTTACAAAAATACACTTCGGCTTGTGTCATCTTCCTAAGCTTTGACTGTACTAATTTTCTCTTTTACTCAATTTGCTAGGGCACTTGATATTTGAATTTACTCAATTTAGCATTTATATGTTTGCTAATGTAATGTTTTACGCTTGATCCCGGAGGAGCAGATATTTCATTAAGAGTGAAATGCTTATGACTCGAGGATGTCTGCAGTGTAACGGATATCTAGGGGTGTAAATGAGCTGGGCTTCGGTCTTCCTGTTACAAGCTTACGTGATATTAAAAGCTTTATTTGTAGGCCAAGTCGGCCTATTTTAAAAAATAAGAAAGCCCGACATGGCCTACAGGCCTTGTAGGCCTACCACTGTAGATACTGAGAAAAAAAATAATTGTATAGAGTAAAGAAAGTTTCATTCATGCATGCACTAGTACTTCTCATAAGAAAAAATAACAAACAAGAAAGAGTCAACATAATAACTCAGCTCTAGAATGTATATCATAGAGGAATAGAGTCAAAGAAATAGGGAAAATAAGAAAAATACAATTATTGGGTGCTGAAATAAAGTCTACAAGAGAATGTCATTCATTTAAAAATTAGGGTTGGTATTGGTACTTTGCTATGTCACATAAAATAAATATCATTTTATTATTTTATTTTTAATAAATTAAATAGGTCAGCCTACAAGGCTTTGGGTCAGACTTGGCAAAATTGGCCTACGGCCTATTTGTTAAAAAGGTTTTCTTAAAAGCCTAAACCTATTTACTTTTTCTGAAAGACCGGGCCAAGCCAGACTTAATGTAGGCCGGGCCAGCCTGACTCATTTACACCCCTACGGATATGTATGAATTGTGCATTGGTTATGGTGATATGCTTATTTTGATTTGGTGTTCCAAGTGATTTATGAATTCAATCTTCGTATAGTTGATAAATATTCTGATGTTGATGCATCTCTTGTTGAGAAAAAAAAAAAGGCAGCCAATTGGTACACATTCTTTGGAAACATTAAAGGCTAAATATATATTTTACAAGGAACTGGCAACCCAGACATTATAATTCAAGCATTGGACCGAGGTGGAGTTATTTCAACTGTTATATGGCATTGGGGACAAGGTGAATCTTTTAGAGGGGCACAATTGTTAGGACTCATATGGCTACTAAGATATCTAAGGCAGAAATTATTAATGTAAATTTCAACCATGCATTAAGTATTTATTTATTAAATATAAATTTCACCCGTCATAAACATTTATAATGGCAGTGATTACAAGAGTTCACACTTTCGTGAAACTAATTATTCAATTGGAAGGAAATGTTCTCAAAATTCTTCAGTTAAGGAATAAAAATAGGTCCCCACTGAATATGATAATACTTATGTGGATAATATTTATTTCGAGCTGAAGAGTAGAGGTATGGATGGTTTTTTCGGATTTTCCAGTAGCAGTTTTTGTCTTTGGTGCAAGAAAAGCTATTGTGATATGAAGTGAAATCATGGGTCCAATTAGTGTGAGTCAACCTTACATTGCATTCATATTTTCGGGCAACATTAAACCATCCTGTTCCACTGCATACCTTGTATTCTGCCTTTGGATTCAGTTTAAACTCATACATTTTACTGCGTTGCATGTAGCACACCAATGTCATTTCATCATTTTTCATATCATATCCTGGATTATCAATGGCCATTCGATTTTCAAAATGAAGAGTAACCGGTTTGTATCCACCAAAACAAAGTAACCACTCCAAACTCCATGCATGTGATGTTCCACAAAACAATATCAATGTTAAAACAATTTGCACTATAATTTTTGTGGAAGTGTTACTCATACCTTTTCCCATTGATCTTTCTTTCATTGGTATCACGATTAAGCTAGAGTTCTCGATCGGTTTACCTGTGCTTAATTGTTCAGACCTTTAAATAGCAAAAAGTAGAAGTCAACCGCTGAAAAAAACTCCTGAACTGAAATAGATTTTAACTTGTTTCACGTTAAACAAACCCCATTAATTATTTAATATAAATGATCTTTAAGAGCGTGTAAGTTTAAAAACTCAAAACTGATCGAACATGTGATTTTTGTTTTAAATTTTTTCAAAGAAAATAAACCTTCAACCGAAAAAGTATTAAATAAAAAACTTAAAGGTGATATAACTTAAACTAAGATAAGTTACTCTGTATTTATGGTGTTAATTACGGTTAGTTTAACAGTTAGAAAAATATTATGCTGATATAATTATAGGTTAATCAATTTGTTCAAATAAGATGGATGTAGACCTTAGGCGCAAAATACCTAAACATGATAACTCAGTTGGTGCAATGAAATCTAGTTCTGTCATGGCTTCCTTTCACTACTCAAATTTTCCTTCCTCATCCCACTTGAAACCAGATAGCAAGATCCGATTTTTTTTCTTTGAATTAAATAAACCCAGAAACAAAAAAGAAACATAAATAACAAAAACTCTCTGTTTACTCAAAAAAACAAAGAAAAAAGTGTTTGTTTCTCAGGAAAATTACCCAAAAAAGAAAATCATGCAAATTTTTTTAACAAAAGCAGATAATATGAAATTAAAGTGAAAAAAAGAAGCTTACGATGTTGTGGTCAGCAGTGGGGTACGAATGGGTGGTGAAGACGAAATAGAAAGTCAAGAAAATGCAGAGAACAATGGAAATGGTAAAATCTCTTGAGAGCTCAAGAAGATGATTTGATCTGATAAGAGTTGGGTGGAAATATGCAAAAGGAGAAAATTAATCGATTAAAAAAGTTTTGTAATCGATTATAATTTTTTTTTGGACAGTTAATCGATTAAGTGTCTTCGTAATCGATTAAATAGAGACAGATTAAACAAGAGCATATTGAATTATTGATGTATAGTTTTGACGGCAAAATAGTTATTTTTAATTAATAAAGGACAAAAGGATAAAAAATCTAAAAAATAAAATTATCCGAGGTTTATTCTTATTATCTATTTATATATTTGTATACAATGTAAAAGTAGTTCTTCAAATCCATATCATTATTAGTATTTCTTAAACATGAATTGCCATATCATAAACTTATAAATACAAATTAAACAGTTTTTATTTTTTATTTACATTTTTTGAAATTTTATTCTTAATCTTTTTATCTTCCTAAACTTTCTTTATTCTCCCTTCTTATTTTTTTCATTTTTATACAAATTTTCAAAATAAAAACTCAAATGAAGA